GGTGAGGAGAGAAGGGGCTGGATTGAAAAAACTCCTGTAGTCTTGCCCAAGAATATGAGCCCTGCTCATGCACTTATTTATGCGTTGTTCTTTCGAATTTACTTTTTGTTTCTTGTCTGTATACCTATTGTCAAAGTAATAAAACGCGAGGATCCACTGGTTCAATGTGATACCAACGAACTGCACATTTATCAACAGCACCACATGAATTTTACCTAAAATTTAAAACTTTCCACTCATAGAGGGGCAAATTTCAGGAAATGTGCACTCTGCTACCATCAATAGCACCTCCAGTATGAGAATTGAAGTAATCTACGCCCAGTTTATTCTTCTCAAGAAACTTTGAAAAAAAAGCACTACCAATGGTTAACCAATGAAAAAACGTCCTACTGACTAGGCCGCCAAGTGTCTTATCCCATGCCTAGACGTACTGGCGTACTGGTGCGCCGAATTTTTTTTGGCACCAGTTCGAAACTCGGATAACTTAGAAGCTAGAGCCCCGAAATAATCGGAGGATGTTCCTCATCGAAGAGGGTGTTAATGCACGTTTTACGTTGTCATTAACACTAATGAACTGTCGATCCCGGTTCTTAGAACCAGTTAGCTCTTTGTCGAAACCGTTTTTCCATTACCACGAGGGTGCCGAATATTTGTCCATTCTAGATAATTTATACAAAAATATTGGCAGTTGTGCCGGTAAAGTGGCACTCAGTAACAGTCTCGTTGCCTGAATAAGAACACTGTGTTGACTTTTCTTTGTTGGTTGAATGCAATCCGTCAAATCCAAATCGTTCAGATGTGTTCAAAATTGGGTTAATATTAAATCTTTATCAAAAAGTAAGGCAAAAAGTAAAACAACGTAAAACATGATACAATTCAATAGCAATACATTTCTTCCACAGCTGACTTGGTCAAAAACCATCAGTGAGCCAAACATTCATTTTTCATCAAGCTTGTGACTGTTTTAGGTAAAGTAACATTGAAAAATTTCAAAGCAGTGCTTCTTTTAGGCCCGCTAGCACCTTCTCACCATCAACTGTTGCTTGCCTACAATATTCCATGTACAATTCATTTAGCAGTCGAGCCGTTGGACAGAGATCACTGAGAAACTGCTGCATTTCACTGGCTTTCCAAGTTGGCTGTAGTGTGAACAGAATCTCCAGTCTGTAAACCCAAATGTGAAACCGCAGATTAACACAAAAAAAAAGTTAAAATAAGCAAAATAAACTGCAAGCGGGTAAATAACTAGCCTCCAAAAGACCGAATTTTAAGCAAAAATCAATAGGCAAAAAAAATGGATTGGTACCATTTTAATGGGAATGGGAGAACAAATAATTCTGAAATGCACTTTTCCCCCTCCCCCTTCTTCATATCTCGTCAATATTACCTTTTTATTGGCTCTTCCGGTAGATCATCTATACTCAAATAACGTATTGTTTTTCCGGTCGCAAGTGCATTGTCAACGAATGCAAGACCTTCCAAATATTCTTCCTGAATTTTTGCAAAAAATTAAATTAGAACATTTTTGAAACTGCAATGAATTTTCGAAACGAAATAGTGCTAATTTTATAGTTTCAGGGCTATTAATAACTCAATTTGTGCCTCTTCAGCAATGAAGCTTTGTATTTCCTGGCTTTATATTTCCTTGCATTCATTTACTCAATTCTCCGCCTTTCTTTCCCGACACAAACAACAAATCTCCGTTTAAGGCTTCAAAAAAAGCGTTTTCTCCTCAAGCCGCTGTAATGTATTACCGAAAATTTGAAAAAAGTCAATGAATTGATGCAAAAAATGCAAATAATTTGTAAAACCAAGTTATTTATTTAAAAACTGGACGCATTTACAATTTTGCATGTCCAGGCCAGTGCAAGGCTGTAGTAATAGAAAGCAACAGCATTGTGAGACAAATGGCCCACGAAAAAAAATTTTTTTAAAGATGGAAGTTCAGATGTAATTAGGCGTGGAAAAACAAAAGGTATGAAGAAAAAGAGAGAAAGAAATAAACGAGAACCGCCCGGACAAATACAAGTGGAAGGATAACCAAAGCTGGAATGTATATCCGTAAAATATGGCAACATTTTATTTTTATATTTCCATTAGTAT